CCGCCGCTCCGCTGGGTTTGCCGTCCGCGGGCGCGCTAATGCAGTTCTCTCTGCTCTGCAGACGGAGAGTCCGAAGCACTGAGGATAAGTGGCTTGTCCAAGGTGACTTCGCAGCCGAGTCGAGAGCGGACTCTGAAGTCCCGGCTCCAGCCCCCTGCCCTGCCTGCATCGGTCGCTAACATCGCCAGCGCTTTCTTCTGCGAGCACTGCGGCTGCATCCCGCTTTGCCCTGCTCCGCGCCGCTGCTCCGCGAGCGGGGACCGCTGCTACCTGCCTGCTGCCGTGAGCCGGGGGAATGGCCGTAGGGAAGCAGTGCACTGCTTCAACGCAGCCGCCAGCACGCCCGGCCGACAGGTCATCCTCTTTACAGTTCGTTTTGTAAAACAACCATTTGCATGCGCTTCTCCCCGGCGCAGGGACGAACCCGTGCCGCAGGGCCGCCGCTTGGAGCATGACGCCCACACCTGCGCCCGGGGATGCCTGAGGTCCCCCAGCTGCAGGGTGGGAGAAGGAGTCTGCAGCCGTCCCCTCCTCGCTGTAGCCCCCGGGGCTGGTTCCGAGCCACCCGCATCAGCACCCGCGCACCGGCTGCACTCCTGCTCGCGTGGGTCATCCCTGTGTTCGCGGGCACAGAGAGCCCAAGGCCAAGGGCTGCCTTTGCAGTGCTTGCTGTGGGGAAGCTGCCTTGAGAGGCGTTTTGGAGGGCGTAGTTCTTTAGTTTGTTTTAAGTGAGCTGGAGACGCGAAAGACACGTAAGTACCTGACTGCCTGCAGGATTTGGGTGCTGGTCCCTGGTTGACGGTGCCGCCTCCGAGTGATGCAGGCTGCTTTCGGCGTGGGGCTGGCAGTGGGGTGGCAGGAGGGACATGGAGATGCTGGAGACAGGGGTGCTTGGGGTTGGGGGTCCAGGGCATGGCGGTGGGAACCTTGTCCCACAGGTGGGCTGGGAGCCCGGAGGGCGAGGGGGGAAGGGGAGAGGTTCTGGGCAGATCTCTCTGTGTCTGTGCGTTTCGGGGACGCCGTGCTCTCCAGGGAGAGGCAGTGGGCTCCTGGCTGCACCAGGGAGCCTCAGCACAGCTTCCTCCACCAGTGACCGCAGGAAGGGCGAGGCCTGGGGGTCCCATCCCAGAGCACATGGTGTCTGGGCTCGGGCTGGCCTGGGAGCTCCTCTCGTCTAGCCACGGGGAGAGGAGCGCGGCCAGCCCCCAGGCATGGCTGCTGTCTGTGCCAGGAGGTCACATTGATTTTTATGGGCAATGAAAGTTTTTACGGGCAAGCTTTCTCACAGATGGTAGAGGCGTCCCGTGGCTTTTGAGGCGGTTCCTGTGTGCCTCTTCCATTAGGGCAGTGGGTCCCAGACCGGGTTCCTGACGGGCTGCAGGTAAAGCAGGGGGCTGCCAGCAGCCCGTTGGGGCGGGGGGAAGTCTCGCTCCGGGCCCTGGCAGGTAGCCTGGGTTGGAGGGCTGTCGCTGCTGTCGCTGGGGCTGGGTCCCGGGCTGCGCACCCAGCCCTGCGGCATGTAGCTCAGGTGCTCTGGGACCCCTCAGCGGGGGGCTTGCCCCAGGGGCTCCCCCTCTGCGAGAGCAAAGAGCAGGCAGCCCAGGCTCTGGCAGCAGCAAGAGTGGTTATTTCCCCGTTCCCCTTCCCTTTCTCCAGGGGAAAGCTTGTGCCTGCAGGCGTGGGAGGTGGCCTGGAGCCCCCGCAGCCGCTAAAGGTTGGGGCTGTGGTGGTGCAAAGTGCAGCAGCTCGGGCATACGGAAAAGTAACGGTGGCAGGTGGTGTGGCAGGCTCAGTCAGTAATCTCCCAGCCTCCCAACGGGTGCTTTATTTAGTGGTAACATAGCACTTCTGTCTTCCTGAGACCACAGCATGACAGGAACAAGATCAGCCTCCGTTAACCCCACGCATTCGATTCAGATTACGTTCAGGACGTTATAACGGTGGCAGACGGGATTAAAAGCGTTAGAAGCTGCAGGGCATCGTCTTTCCTGTAAGGAGGTGTCCCCTCGCAGCACCCTGCCTGCTCGGGCATACCTGCAGGGCCGGGCATCCCTCCGCTGAGTCTTACTCCGGGTAGCAGTGCGATTCCCCCAGGACGCTCCTGGCCGTGAAGTCCCCTCCGTAGCATCCCCAGGGCTGGGCTGTGAGCCTGACGACTGCAGGAGACCTCCGTCGGGTGGGAACCGCTCCCTGACGCTAGCTAAAGCCTCTCAAGCGAGATGGAAAGTGCTTCTTTGTAAAGTTAAATAACTCCTTCCCTGCAGCGCTTGCAATGCAGCACTGCAGCAGGGCCCAAAGCCCAGGATGCAGGGCTCTCGGGCTCGGCTTGGGCTGCGACGTGCCTGGGGAGCTCTTAGCACGGGCATGTGGGGAAGAATAAATCAGCATCTGAAGCGGCTGCTGAGGGCAGTGAATCCAAGTTAAGGTGTCAGTGGAGCCGGGAACCAGCTTGTAGCTGTGGGGGCAGCTGTGTCCCCTCTATTTTGGTTGCCAGAGTGCCCAGGGAAAGCTCGGTAGGGATGGCTGGGTCCCTGTGGTGGCTGAGGTCTGGGAGAGGGGAGGACGATGCTTTGCTGGGTTTTGTCACGCCTTGGCCATACCGCATCATAGCAGCGGGACGGGGCGCTGGTGTGATGGGGACGAGGAGCGGGGCTGCTCCCCTGGCCTGCAGCCAAAGCGTCCCTGCGCCCCCCGGAAAGGGTTCGCGTGGGTGCTGCCAGCCCAGCCCAGGGGTGCCATGCCAGCCCCCTGCGTGGGACCCCAGGAGCTTTCAGGCATGCCCTTGGCTCCTGCGGCTGGGCTCGTACCTGCTCCTCGATGCCTTTCTCCCTGCTGATGGGGAGGAGAGGAGCGGGCGAGCTGCGTTCTGCAGTTTGAAGGTCATCTGCCGGCTACAGTGGGAGAGGAGGCTCTCTGCAAGGAAGG